ATTTACTGTTCGGAACCACCCACTTGTGTACATTCAATATTTACTTATTTCCACTATTTGTATTGTTTACAATTTACACACTTGTATGTAGTTGGTCATTGTTGCTTTTTATATATATTTATATACGTCCATTTAATTTTTCCCTATCTTTGTTTAACTTTATTGTCTACAGAAGCCCTAAGCGGGACTCATTTACTCATTTGGCAGACGCTTTTATCCAAAGCGACTTACATTTGAGGAACAACATACAAGCATCAACAGAGCATCAAATACAGATCTACAACTGACAATACATACTAGTAAGAGCAGCAATAAGTACTAGTAAGAGCTCATAGTACATATCACATCAATGGGGTAAATACCTAGGGAAAGAAGTAAGAGTTAACAAAAAGTGCAATCAATCAATACAAGATCATTGTAGGGGATAGAAGAAGAAGAGCACAGGACGTGCATGTTAGAGGTTAGGAGTTAGAGGTGTTATAAAACATTTGACTCATAGTCAAAAGGTGGATTCCCCTGAATCTTCTCATAACTGCTTTGTTGAAGTGGATAATAAAAAACACACAAAAGAAGTAAAGCGGGAATTGAACACACAGTCTTTTGATTTTGTGTCCTAGGCTCTATCAACCAACCTAACCAGAATTTTTTTTTATTATCCTAAAGAAACACACCATGCGACCCCTGTATTCAGTAATTGTTTATCTCGAGATCATGAGAAAATTGTTCCATTATCACGGGAAAACGGAGGAAAAGAATATTTGAATGGATGGCCGCCTAGGGCCTCCGTAGGTGTCCTTGCTTTTAGCTCTTTCTCTATTTATACTGGAACGGTGTGTAACGTTGAGAGGAATGACAAAACCGGAAAATTCTTCGTGTGTGTGCAGTTGGCCAAAAAGGTTGATTCTGATTCTGAAAAATGCTAGCGTAGTAAAAATACACCACCCTACAAAATGTTAGCATGTAGGCCTACATTTCATCAGTTATCAAGTTATCATGCTGAGACTGAGTGTGACTTTTAGCTTGTTAACAAAACAATAACAATAAAAAATGCATCTCGACTGTCACAAGAGTCCATATTTAGAAAAGTAAATAAATTGGATGTGCATATTATCACTTTGAAATAAAGTTTTTCTTCTGTCTAGGAACCTGGGAGTGTCAGTTTGTTCCACTCTGTGTGATGTTGGAGGCATCATTGCTCCCTTCCTGCTCTACAGACTGGCTGCCATCTGGCTGGAGCTGCCCCTCATCATTTTTGGTTGGTTGTATTTAATTATGGAGTGACAACATTTGTTGCAATCTGTCTGAAAGTATTAGAAAATGTAGTTTTTGCTGTGTTAGGGGTGAAAAATTATCCACAAACGCACTCCAGATAGGAATTAAAATCACTGACCAGCACAGGTAACATTATAATCACCTCACCTCCCGTAGAGAAATAAATTCATTCATTCTGCTTTTCATCATTTTACATACTACTGGAGAACCAGTTTTTATACAGGCCCAGTAGATTGGAAGTGAGTGGAATGGTGATGGAAAAGATAATTCACATTTCAGTGCCAGATGTGATTAAACTGCATCACCTGTTAAAAAGTGAATGTATTATTTATGTTAAGAATATGCTGTGCTGTGCAGGGTGTCTGGCTTTCCTGGCTGGTGGTTTGGTGCTGCTGCTTCCTGAGACCAGAGGTGTGCCGCTGCCCGACACTATCGATGACGTCGAGTTCCCAGAAAGGTGAGTATCCACCGCTGAAAAAAGGAATAATTAAGTTATTTTATTTGACACCATTTTGGCACAAACCAAGGTATGTTTGTGGTTTTGTGTCTATGTAGTGGATGTATAGGTAGATGTGTGTGTATACATATTATGAATGCACTTCTCTTATATTATGTTGAAGATGCTGTCATATGTTTCTCAATGAGATATATTATTTTAGGGCTGCGACTAAGTATTATTTTTATTCTCCATTGATCTGTTTTCTTGATTAATCGATTCATCATTTTGTCTACAAAATGTCAGAAAATTTTGAAAAATGCTTGTTCTAATTCCCCACAGTCCACCCAAAAGTATTCAGTTTACTATCATGTGCGACAAAGAAAAGAAGCATATTCTCACATTTGGGAAGCTGGAACCTGCAGATGTTATAAATTCTAACTTAAATAATGACTAAAACAATGAATCCATTATTGAAATAGTTGCCAATAATGCTGTTGATCGACAAATGGACTACTTGTTGCAGCAGTTCTACATACTTAACTTACATCATGTCATTTTGCGTGTGTGTTCAGAGTGAAGGAGAAAGCTGCACAGAAGAACCAACAGCTGGCCGACTTGCTGCTCAACAACGACGTATCGACCAACAAAGATCCAGCGACTGATTAATCTCCTTCTGTGACCAAAGTATTTATTTATGTTGTTTAACAGTGTTTCTTGTGGATACAGTCGCCTGCAAAAGTATTGGAACGGTAAGGCAATGTCCTTTGTTTTTGTTGTTCACACAGACATTTGGGTTTAAGATCAAAAGAAGAGTATGAGACAAGAGTTCAGAATTTCAGCTGTTATTTCCTGGTATTCACATCTAGATGTGTTAAACAACTATGGACATATCACCGTTTGTTTGAACCCACCCATTTTTCAAGTGAGCAAAACTATTGGAACATGTGACTGACAGATGTTTCTTGTTGCCCAGGTGTTTTTTAGGTTGATTGTCCAAACATTAAATAGCTCTGCATGACTAGTCTAAGTTTTCATCTTTGGTTCAAACCTATAAAGACTGCATTTCCTGTTAAAGAGGATAAACCAACATGGAGACCAGAGAGCTGTCTGTGGGAGAAAAGAAGGAAAATCTCTCTCTGACTCAGAGAGCAGAAATATAGAGGCCACACCACAAGATGCAAACCACTCATCAGCAGGAAGAATTGGGAAGGCCAGATTGAAATTTGCAAAGAAGTACAGAGATGAGCCTCAAAAGACTGATGAGACCAAGATTAATCTCTACCAAAGTGATGGAAAGGCCAAATTGTGGAGAAAGAAAGGAACTGCTTATGATCCGAAGCATACAAGCTCTTCTGTGAAGCATGGTGGAGGTGATGTCATGGCCTGGGCGTGCATGGCTGCTTTTGTCTGCCAGTTTACGGAGAAATGCATTGAAACTAATCGGGAGGAAGTTTATCATGCAGCAGTACAATGACCCAAAGCACACTGCCAACAAAACAAAGGACTTCATCAGGGGGAAAAGTGGAAGGTTTTAGATTGACCAAGTCAATCACCTGACCTTAACCCAATAGAGCTGCATTTCGCTTCCTTAAGAGGAGACTGAAGGGAGAAACACCTCGAAACAAACAAGAACTGAAAGAAGCTGCAGTAAAAGCCTGGAATAGCATCACAAATGAAGAATGCAACAGTTTGGTGATGTCGATGGGTCGCAGGCTTGAGGCAGTTATTGCAAGCAAGGGTTATGCCACCAAATATTAAATGTTATTTACTTTAAGATTATTTGTTCCATTACTTTTGCTCTCCTAAGAAGCTGTGGTCTGATACAAACGGTGATATGTCCATAGTTGTTTAACACATCTAGATGTGAACACCAGGAAAATAACAGCTGAACTCTTGTCTCATACTCATCTTTTGATCTTAAACCCAAATGTCTTCAGTGAACAACAAAAACAAAGGAATTTGCCTTACTGTTCCAATACTTTTGGAGGCGACTGTATATCAGGTACCTACTTTTGTTTTTTGACTGTGTAGTCTGCTATACAAAAGATTTCTATATATGTCTGAGACCTTTATCACCGACAGAGAGCGTCTGTGATGATTGATGTTGAATGACTTATTGAAATTTTTGTATTTTTAAGAGATTGTTTCGTGAACTCATGTGCCATCAAGTTATTATATTGTCAGAATTATTACAGAGCTACATTATTAAAGAGGTTTCTTGTAACACAACTTGGGCTCCAAGTGATGATTTAAAGTTGTAACCTTCAAGATTTTAGTAGTTGGGTGATTTGCTGAGAGGAAAGAAGGGGAAAAAAAACAATGTTCTGATACAAACTTGTAATTATTTTCTAGACCTCTCAAATTTTTTTGTGATATATTGAATAAGTTTACCTCTTTGGGCCTCAAATTGTCTTTTAAATGAAACCATGTCAACTCATAGACATCTGAAATGCCATAAAGGGCCCCACTGTCTCCACTGTCACTGTCTCAAGCCCAAAACTTTGGGATCCACTGGTTTTATCTTTAACAATGTATTATATTTTTTAAGCTTATACATGCATTTTATGGTAAATCTAATTTGAACAGTAACTAGTAACTAAAGTAGCCAAATAAATGTAATGAGTAAAAAATACAATCTGAAGTGTATTGGAGTGTAAAGTAGCATAAAAAGGAAATACTAAAGTAAAAGTAAAATGCCAAAATTGTACTTTCCACCACTGGATAATGTAGACAACAAAAAAATCATTAAAAATTCTGGGATTACTGAACTGTGGAGTGACCACAGTGTGAGTGTAAGTTACTTCACAGTCCTCTGCAACGGTTTAAAGTCACCCCTTTATATTTACGCATATTTATTATTTGCTCTTGTGTGATTACAGCATCTATGTGATTCTTAAGTTTTTGTTTGTAGGAAAATTAGATAATCCTGGAGCACTACTGTTTACTGCTGTGTCTTTTTTTTTATTCTGCCACTAGAAGTCACACCATGCAGAAATTTTCAAATGCTACGCACATGAGCTTCAAGAGTGTGCAGTTCACTGAACGCCATGCCAATGCTGCATTGAACACCGTTGCCTTTATAAAAAAAAGACAACCATCTGTTGCCTGTGATACAGTTGGTACAGCTTGAAGTGTGCTACCAGCGTTTCACAACACAAATGTATGCACAATCACTAACGAGAATTAGTTTTGCCCAGTTCAGGTTCATTCGCTGATAACGTGTAACAGTAACATGTTTTCACCTTCAATGCAGCTTTTTTTTACAAAAATTTGAAGTGTTTTTTGACTGAACACCAAGCACTTGGATCGCCGTAGTGATGACGACCTTTGATGACCTCCTGGAGGAGGCTGGCACTTTCGGACGCTGTCAGAGGCGTGTCTTTGCCCTGCTCTGTCTGTTGTCATTGCCTTTTGCAGGTGTGTACGTTGGTATCGTCTTCCAGGGTTTCACCCCAGATCACTGGTGTTGGGACTCTGCAGTAGTGGAGAGGAGGCAGGCGTGCGGCTGGAGCCTGGCAGACGGTCGCAGGCTGACGGTGCCGCTGGTCAACAACTCTGGAGTGCTGCAGCAGAGCAGCTGTGAGCAGTACGAGGTGGACTGGAACACCACAACGCTCACCTGTGACACACAAGAACTAAATCTGACTGAGGCTCCAGTTACCACATGCAAGGTGAGATCTCTGAGACTGGTGTAAGCAGATGCTGTGAGATTATTTGATTATGTAATTGTGTATTCTAGAAAGCTTTCAGTTGTCTTAGTGGATTGTTTGTTCCAAATTTAAGTGTTCTAGGCGACAGATCTCAGGGATCTCACCAAAAATATCAAAATTGTTACATTAATGATTACAGTTTCCTGAAGTAATTAGGTATTGGAAACAATTAAAGGAATAGTTTGGCATTTCGGGAAACACTTACAAACAAATTTAACAAAGTTAGATGAGAGGATTGAGATGCAATGAGAAATCGGGGCAAACAGCCTGGATCTGTCCAAATGTAACAATAATTAACACATTATTTCTTGTTTCTGTCCAAAAATGGAAGTGAAAAACAAGAATTTGGCATTGTGCGGTGTGGGTTATGTGCCAGACCATTTCTTGTCTCAGAGCAGTTGCCAGACAACCAGTGGAGACTCCGGGAAGTTAATACTCTGCCAAATAAAATGCCTGACGCATAACCCCACGTGAATCTGCTAATTATAATTTTTAAACTTCAGTTTTCCGACAGACTAAAAATAAATAAATATGACACGTTAATGAGTGAGATTTACAGGTGCTCATGGGCTGATTTTGTTGCCATTGGACTGAGCAAGGATAGCTGTTTCCTGTTTACAGTCTCTGTGCTAAGCTAAGCTAACCAGCTGCTGGGCACATCTTCATATTGACTATACAGATAAGAGGGTTTATCGGTCTTATCTAACGCTCCACCAGAATGCGATTAAGCATTTTAAGTATGGGATTCATAATAAAAGTGATCAAATGAATGTGTGCAATGGTTTGTTTTTGTTTTTGTCTTTAAGAATGGCTGGGAGTATCAGTATGAAGGCAGGAAGTCCTTTGTCACAGAGGTGAGAAGAGACATTTCTCAGTGCTCCTCAGTTAAATCAATGATCAAATTGTGCACATATTGTAGGTCAAATCAGTAAATATATTTTACACGACAACTTCCTGTATGTAGACATTTAATCATTTTCCTTTTTGGTCTCAGTTTAACCTGGTGTGTTCAGATGGATGGCTGGTGGACATGTACCAGTCCACGCTCAATGTGGGCTTCCTCATTGGCAGCTTTGCTTTTGGTTACTTTGCTGACAGGCGAGTCATTTCTTCTGACCACCTAGGTTTCCATTTTGGCCACAATTATACCTTCATCAGTAGTAGCTTCACCTGCAGTTTGCAGAATGCTATACCCACTGTAAGAAAATGGGTCAGGTTGGTGGACAAGTCTAGATTTAAACAAACATGCCTCATTAGAGTTGCTGGATTAGTATTTATTCAAGTATTGCTAGTTTACTGTAAACAAATGAGTTGCCTTTATCACATGCTACTGGTTCTGCTGACCATATTTCCCATGAACCACATTGCTTCCCGTCACCCTGTCCCTTCTTCAGCATCAGTACTGACTTCACTGACGTGCTCTCTCTGTTCTGTATGTTAAAGCTTTCCATCATCTTTTCGATGAATCTAACACAAAAGGAAGAGAACTCTTGTGTGAAGTCATACAACCAACCAACCAGTTCTACTTCCACTCATGGATCTGTTTTTCTTTTTTAGTGATATATATTAAGTTTCCAGTGTTCTTGTCAGTCACAGATATCGTTGGAGTTGAGTACAGAAGGATGGTGGGCACGTTTGTACCAGATGTTCTTCAGTGTCGGCATCCTCATCCTCCCTCTGCTCGCCTACTTCATCACTGACTGGCGGTGGCTGCGGGTCGTCATCACTGCACCCTACGAAAATTAGATAATCCTGGAGCACTACTCTTTACTGCTGTGTCTTTTTTTTATTCTGCCACTAGAAGTCACACCATGCAGAATTTTTCAAATGCTACACACATGAGCTTCAAGAGTGTGCAGTTCACTGAACGCCATGCCAATGCTGCATTGAACACCGTTGCCTTTATAAAAAAAAAACAGACAACCATCTGTTGCCTGTGATACAGTTGGTACAGCTTGAAGTGTGCCACCAGCGTTTCACAACACAAATGTATGCACAATCACTAACGAGAATTTGTTTTGGCTTGTGCCCAGTTCAGGTTCATTCGCTGATAACGTGTAACAGTAACATGTTTTCACCTTCAATGCAGCTTTTTTTTCACAAGCCTTTTTGGACTTTAGCTCCAGATCGACCTGGTTAGTGAGGAGGAGTATGAAGCCTCCAAATCTGACTACTGACATTTCACTCCATTCTGTATGCTGAACAGTACAAAATTTGAAGTGTTTTTTGACTGAACACCAAGCACTTGGATCGCAGTAGTGATGACGACCTTTGATGACCTCCTGGAGGAGGCTGGCACTTTCGGACGCTGTCAGAGGCGTGTCTTTGCCCTGCTCTGTCTGTTGTCATTGCCTTTTGCAGGTGTGTACGTTGGTATCGTCTTCCAGGGTTTCACCCCAGATCACTGGTGTTGGGACTCTGCAGTAGTGGAGAGGAGGCAGGCGTGCGGCTGGAGCCTGGCAGACGGTCGCAGGCTGACGGTGCCGCTGGTCAACAACTCTGGAGTGCTGCAGCAGAGCAGCTGTGAGCAGTACGAGGTGGACTGGAACACCACAACGCTCACCTGTGACACACAAGAACTAAATCTGACTGAGGCTCCAGTTACCACATGCAAGGTGAGATCTCTGAGACTGGTGTAAGCAGATGCTGTGAGATTATTTGATTATGTAATTGTGTATTCTAGAAAGCTTTCAGTTGTCTTAGTGGATTGTTTGTTCCAAATTTAAGTGTTCTAGGCGACAGATCTCAGGGATCTCACCAAAAATATCAAAACTGTTACATTAATGATTACAGTTTCCTGAAGTAATTAGGTATTGGAAACAATTAAAGGAATAGTTTGGCATTTCGGGAAACACTTACAAACAAATTAACAAAGTTAGATGAGAGGATTGAGATGCAATGAGAAATCGGGGCAAACAGCCTGGATCTGTCCAAATGTAACAATAATTAACACATTATTTCTTGTTTCTGTCCAAAAATGGAAGTGAAAAACAAGAATTTGGCATTGTGCGGTGTGGGTTATGTGCCAGACTATTTCTTGTCTCAGAGCAGTTGCCAGACAACCAGTGGAGACTCCGGGAAGTTAATACTCTGCCAAATAAAATGCCTGACGCATAACCCCACGTGAATCTGCTAATTATAATTTTTACACTTCAGTTTTCCGACAGACTAAAAATAAATAAATATGACACGTTAATGAGTGAGATTTACAGGTGCTCATGGGCGGATTTTGTTGCCATTGGACTGAGCAAGGATAGCTGTTTCCTGTTTACAGTCTCTGTGCTAAGCTAAGCTAACCAGCTGCTGGGCACATCTTCATATTGACTATACAGATAAGAGGGTTTATCGGTCTTATCTAACGCTCCACCAGAATGCGATTAAGCATTTTAAGTATTGGATTCATAATAAAAGTGATCAAATGAATGTGTGCAATGGTTTGTTTTTGTTTTTGTCTTTAAGAACGGCTGGGAGTATCAGTATGAAGGCAGGAAGTCCTTTGTCACAGAGGTGAGAAGAGACATTTCTCAGTGCTCCTCAGTTAAATAAATGATCAAATTGTGCACATATTGTAGGTCAAATCAGTAAATATATTTTACACGACAACTTCCTGTATGTAGACATTTAATCATTTTCCTTTTTGGTCTCAGTTTAACCTGGTGTGTTCAGATGGATGGCTGGTGGACATGTACCAGTCCACGCTCAATGTGGGCTTCCTCATTGGCAGCTTTGCTTTTGGTTACTTTGCTGACAGGCGAGTCATTTCTTCTGACCACCTAGGTTTCCATGTTGGCCACAATTATACCTTCATCAGTAGTAGCTTCACCTGCAGTTTGCAGAATGCTAGACCCACTGTAAGAAAATGGGTCAGGTTGGTGGACAAGTCTAGATTTAAACAAACATGCCTCATTAGAGTTGCTGGATTGGTATTTATTCAAGTATTGCTAGTTTACTGTAAACAAATGAGTTGCCTTTATTACATGCTACTGGTTTTGCTGACCATATTTCCCATGAACCACATTGCTTCCCGTCACCCTGTCCCTTCTTCAGCATCAGTACTGACTTCACTGACGTGCTCTCTCTGTTCTGTATGTTAAAGCTTTCCATCATCTTTTCGATGAATCTAACACAAAAGGAAGAGTTACCAAATTATTAGAACGTGGCAGTGTGATTTGTGAGCTGTAATGTAAAAGCTTTTCTTATTTTGAAAGGAATCTTTGTCTAATGTTACTTCTTTTTCTATCTTCAGGTTTGGCCGGAAGATCAGTTTCCTAATATCCAACGTACTAAATTTGATCTCAGGGATTGTGCTGGCTGTGGCTCCAAACTACATCTCCATCCTGGTGTTTAGGACCATCTTTGGTTTTGCAGTAAAAGGAGGCTGGATGACCTCATATGTGCTGCGTAATGATGACTTTCCATGTTTCTTCAAACAGATTTTCTTCTGAGGCATCTCAATAACATTTGCATTTATCTGACACTTTTGTCCAAAGTGACTTACAATTGCTATACATGTCAGAGGTCGCACGCCTCTGGAGCAGCTAGGAGTTAAGTGTCTTGCTCAGGGACACATTGGTCTCTCACACCAAAGGCATGCGTCTTATCCACTACACCATCACCACCCCCACCCCGATAACTACATCTATTATAACTAACTAACTTAATGATATAAACATGAACAGAACTCTTGTGTGAAGTCATACAACCAACGGTTCAGCTATAAATACTAAGATTTCACTTTCTAGTCCATGCTCTGTTTTGAAACATACACACAAAATAGTCGCCTAACCTCAGCCATACAAACACAGTAAACCAGACTATTTAACAATTTAGGGGACCCTACAGGGCACATTTTCTCCACTTAAAGGGCACCCTACAGGGTACTTCATCACATTTTCTCAACTGCAATGGTACCCTACATGGCACTTGATAATGTTTTCTCCAGTGGAAGTGGACTTTATCTTGTACATTAGGGTACTGTGGAGGTTACTGTTGAGTCCACCAGTTCTACTTCCACTCATGGATCTGTTTTTCTTTTTTAGTGATATATATTAAGTTTCCTGTGTTCTTGTCAGTCACAGAGATCGTTGGAGTTGAGTACAGAAGGATGGTGGGCACATTGTACCAGATGTTCTTCAGTGTCGGCATCCTCATCCTCCCTCTGCTCGCCTACTTCATCACTGACTGGCGGTGGCTGCAGGTCGTCATCACTGCACCCTACATGCTCTTCCTGACTTACTACTGGTAAGAAAGTTTATATTCTTGTTTCCACTTTGTATCTGTTCAGGAAGGAGTTCCATTTTGTTATTTATATCTTTGTTGAAATACTTTTCAAAAAAGCAAGTCATGAAGGAAGAGCACATGCTTCAATATTCAGTAACAGTCCGAGAATGGACCCCTGTGGGAACCCACAAAGTAGTCTGCCTTTGTTGGAATAGCATCCATTAACACAAACAAACTGTCTTCTGTTTGAGACATAGAATTTGAAAATAGACTGCTTAATCTGTTTAACAAGGAATGAAGAAATGTTATCATGCCCAGCTGAAGTTTTGTTGTGTTTTTAGTTCATCAATAATAATTATTTGTTGAAAATCAGGAGGCTTAAAAAAAGAAATAGTACGATTTTTGAGCTATATCAAATGAATTGTTAAAAGAATTGTCACCTTCATAAAAGATTGAAGGTAATTCTGGGTGAGTCTTATCTCTATGCAGCAACTGATTTATTACTTTCCATGTGGTTTTAGAATCATTTGAACACCTCTTAAATTATTCACAGAAATAATTCTTTTTTGCAGATCTAATGTAATGAGTATAATGATTTCTAAAAGTTTTATTAAGCACCATGGGTAAGGGGTGTAGGATTTGGTTTTGCTGTGACTAATCATTAAGATACTGTACTTTGTTGTTCCACTCCCACACCTACATATGTAAATGTTAGATGCATCCACCAAAATCAGAAATTTTGTGGCTGCTTTTTGCAGTATATATCTATTACTGCTCATTATTAAACAGGTTTCCTGCTCAAACTTGTGTCTCTGAACCACTGCCAGCCTCTAGCAGTTTGTCTTACACGCCTGGTAGCCTGTAAGGGTTAAGGCACTAACCAAGAACCACAACGTCTGGCCAGGGACTTGTTGCATGTCGTTCCCCAGCTCTCTCTTCACCCATTTCCTGTCATGTTTCAGCTGTTTAATAAAAGCAGAAAATATATATTTTGCATCCAGAAACACATTAAACTAATGTTATCTTGCTCAGATCGTCCATTACAAGCAGCTGTGTTGGTGAACAGTTGCTGGAAAAATGTCCAGGTTGTTTTGTGTCACAGGTTTATCCCAGAATCTCCAAGGTGGCTCATCTCTCAGAACAATTCTTCAAAAGCTTTGGAGATCGTTGAAGCTATGGCCAAGGAGAACAAGAAGAAACTCTCTAAGAAAGTTGAGGTGATTTAGACTCTGCAGTTGATGTAACATCTAAATTCTCCTAAAAGCAAACAACTACTTATTTTCAGAATCACGTGTCATTTCATGATCTGCTATGTCAAATCATTTGTACGTGAGGTCCTAATTTAATGTCATAACTGATTATTGATCATGAATCATGATTGTTTATTTCAGATGTTGAGTGATAATGAGGGTGATTTCACTTCTGCATCTTTGCTGGACCTGATCAGAACTCCAAATATGAGGAAACACACTTTCATCCTCATGTTCAACTGGTGGGGCTCATCTAAAATCACAGATTTGTAGGCCAAGCAAACCCCCAAATGTAGGAGATACTGATTCTTCTTGTTCCCATCTCTGCAGGTTCACCAGTGCTGTGGTTTATCAAGGCCTCATCATGCGTGTAGGGATAACAAGAGGAAATATCTACATTGACTTCCTCATCTCTGGTCTAGTGGAGTTCCCTGCTGCCTTCCTCATCCTCTTCACCATTGAACGTATCGGCCGGCGCCTACCCTTTGCCTCTGCCAACATTGTAGCTGGAGCCTCCTGCTTGATCACTGCCTTCATTCCTGACAGTGAGAAGAACTTCTTGTTCTTAGACCATGTCATTTAGGCTTTTACTTACTTCACCCCCAGAGTTCGTTCTTTACTTATTTACTATTTCATCTACAAGGATTGTTATAGCTGTAAAATTATATGATAAATATGTTTGTTTTGGTTTTATTTTGTCATAAATAACAATGGTTTCTTATACATTTTACACATCAAAGTCTGTTAACAAGTGTTGGGGAGAACTACTGCCTATGTGAAAAAAGAAAGTTGTATAGGGTGGTGGCGGGACAGTGGATAAGACATGTGCCTTTTGTGTGAGAGACCTGGGTTCAATTCACCAATGTGTCCCTGAGCAAGACACTTAACCCCTAGTTACTCTGGAGGCGTGCGGCCTCTGACAAAATAGCAAGTAAGTCGCTTTGGATAAAAGCATCGGCTAAATGTATAAAGCCTTTTTTGGCTCCAGACAGAGCTGTGAGAAATCTGAAAAATGGCCAGTGTTTATTCAGGCTGAACACTACGTTTGAAGTTATATTGTTGAGATAAAAAACAAAACAAAATAAGTGGATGTTGCGTTAGGAAGAAGTGAACTTACAAGACCTCTGTAGCTCCTCCTGTTTGAGGCTAGCAGCTCAGTAACATCAGCCGCTACACCTGAATGTTCAATTGAACTGCCAGCAGTCGGGTTGAATTGTGGGTAATGTAGGCACCATGTTAACTGACAAGGAAGAAGAATGCGTGGAATAAAAATCATGATGTCTCTGGTTTTGCTGCATCGATTTTGAGACAAAAAAAATTATAACTGTCCAGTTTCATCTACCAGAGGGTGACAAGAAAAATTGCCTGACATATCCAAGACCTCTCTAGGAAAATGTATCAAATTCCCTGACTTTGTCTGAAATCGAAAAAAAGGAAATTGTTAATTTGATGATACTGCATCAACTAATTCAATCCAGTAAATCTACAGTACAATCTTTAAGGCGTGATGTCCCATTCTTATTGATACAAGAATCATAATGAGAAAGACCTTCTGTATCATGGGTTCGTCTTAGCTTTCTAAATATGCACACAGTTCTGTAAATGCATATTTTTCTCTGTGCCTCAGGCATGTTCTGGTTTAAGACGGTGGTGGCCTGCGTCGGTCGGCTGGGTATCACCATGGCCTTTGAGATGGTGGTGTTTGTTAACACTGAGCTCTACCCAACATTTGTCAGGTGAGGTCAGAATGATCAACTCTTAGATGCATTATCTCTAAAATATAGAGTGTAATTGCAAAATGTAATGGTTAATTGGATTAACTACACAAAGGAACCTGGGAGTGTCAGTTTGTTCGACTCTGTGTGATGTTGGAGGCATCGTATCTCCATTCCTGCTCTACAGACTGGCTGTCGTCTGGCAGGAGCTGCCACTCATCATCTTTGGTAGGTTTCTGCCATGTTATTAATGAATACTGTGACAGTGTTTAAGCTGCTGTACACTGGTGGCCCAAGAAATCGTTCTGTGCATGTAATTAGTCCAGTGCTGTATTCAAGTGTCGAGGAAAGGATTAAGATGTAAGTGATGCAGCTTATAGGAATCCCTATAAGCTGCATAGGGATTCATTTAAAATCTTCAGCTGACATAACGTTTAGGTATTTATTTGGTTCATTATTCACCTTTTGTGTGAAGATGTCCAAGCAGTAACCACCAGGGTAGATGCACTGCACACTCTTACCTGTTGCAGTGCTACATATTGAGATAAGACAAAATCTTTATGGTGTAATATTGACTAGTGAAGCCCATAAGTTTGTACCAGCACTGTGATTCAGTGTTCTCCACATTGTGTTTCATACAGGAATAGTCGCGCTTATAGCTGGAGGTTTGGTGTTGTTGCTGCCTGAAACCAGAGGAGTTCCTCTCCCTGAGACCATTGATGATATTGAGTTTCCTAATAGGTGAGATATCGCTCCCAATTAAGTTGAATAGAATTCACTACACAGTATTTATTCTCATCCTCATTGTGATGGCTAATATGAAGGAAATGGCTGGTGGCCACAATTGCAATACCATCATATAAAAATGCTGCAATACAACTAAAAGTCTTGCATTCAAAAAGTAAAGTAATTTGGACTATTTTAGTGTTGAGTAGTTTCATATATAGCAACATGTCATATACGCTAATCAGATGTTTTGTGTGTTAGCTGTTAAATGTTATGTTGTAAAAACTGCAATAGTTTTCACTGAAGTTAGAATAGAAGAGTAGTACCTCAGAATTGTACTGAAGTACATGTATGGAGTTGCTTTCCCTGCCAAAACATGTTTATTATAGTTGTCATTTAATAAAGTAATTGATGCCTGGAGTAAAACTGCAAAGGAATTGTATATTCAAATGTGAGACATATTATCTGAATATAACAAATTCTTAATGATTGATTCAGTTGTGTCAGATTTAAATTCTTAATGCAATCTTAATGCAGGAAGTATTTTTATTTATTATTAATAGAATATGTATGTTCTTGATCCCAGGAAAAAGCAGGATGAAGTGGAGAACCAACAAATGAACAAACCTGACCTGACAAACAAGGAAACAACATCTTTGTGACTGTCTTTGTGTGCATGCATGTGTGTAGATTTTCCTCACTGTGATATAATTCACTGCCCTCTACTAACAAGGAAGTAAGTTTTTTTTAAAATACATTTTCTATAAAGCATGACTTACACATGTCCTTTGATTTAAGTTTTATTTTTCAGCTCAGAAGAACACACACCGAAAATATACCTTTACATCCCCAAACCAGGAATATGATCTCTTTATTGTGTTTCCACCACAGGAAACTGAGATAATACTTTACATGAGATAATACCAGGCTACAAACTTCACAACAGTCATGTTGGAGCAGAACAGTACACACATGTTAAAGTATCTTCAAAAAGCACGATAAACAGTCACTTTCTACAAGGGATCACATTTGAAGCGACTGAATTTGTTCAAGGTGGAAAGTTTTCAGTTAGCTTTGATTGTTCTGTCGATCCAGTCGACAAACTTGGAGACTCGGGCGTAGACGCCGGGTTTCATGGCATTGGCGCATCCCAGACCCCATGATGTCACACCCTGCAGGATATAGCTGTTCTGGGAATTACACACCAAGGGACCACCACTGTCACCCTGCAGTGAGGACAAAAATAAATGCTTTTCAGTTCAACTGGTGCAAAAAATAGACTGGAAAAGAACCCCAACAAAGCAGGAGGGAAGAACAGTTTTAGGTCATTGAACTACAAGTGATCTAGATATAGAAAACAATTTTAGGTCAAATATTTACAAACAATTCTTAATATTTATCAAAAATTATATTTACATTTCACTTCTGACAATAATCACTAGTAGTTACAACATTTTAAATACAAACTGCTGAGCTCTGTGGTGCAGCAACATTGCTAGAACAGAGTCCATCACATTTTAAACAAAGCTTAACTGAATTAAGCAAAGCACTTACAATATTTGGAAGTGAAAACGAATATTAACATTAACATCCTTACCCAAACTGCTTGCTACAAAATTTGACTTTGCGGAGCTTTACCTGTTTCATGATGTGTGGGCACAGTTATGTTTGAAACTATGGTAGGCAACATTGGAGAAACTAGTAAGAGACAGCTAGATTCTGAAAGTATCCAACCAAAAAAACCTGTTTCCCTCCAAAGCCACTCCCCCAAAACTCCCATGGATACTTTCAGAATCTAGCTGTCTCTTACTAGTTTCTCCAATGTTGCCTACCATAGTCATTTTCAAACTTGTAGTCTTTAGCCCCAACCAACGAATTTATCAGAGTTTGAGCAGCTCCCTCAAGCCACAAAACGCTCTAAAATCTCTAAAAGATGAATTCATTATTTTTTTATGAATTAATCATTGCATACTTCCGTCTTCATATATGCTGAATTACATGTGAGCATGTACACAACATTTTTGCATGTTCAGCTTTCACACTAGCAAGTAATTGAATATTCACCACTTGAAAAATGTCTCTATTTTCTCTAATATTAGTACCAAATTACACATTTCTTTGCAGGAAGCTAAATTACTTTACAGACCCATAAAAAAAGACATTGTGGCAAATAGCCACGCATAACACATAGTTTTCTAAGATGTTTTCCAACTTCCATAGTTCTTTGGATTTCCCATACCTGGCAGCTGTCTGTTCCTCCCTCGATATTTCCAGCACACATCTCGTGGTCTTTGACTCTGCCGTTCAGGTACGATGGACGATTACAGATCTTGTTCTCGATCACAGGGAAACCAGCTTCCTTCAGGACGCCTTCTCCTCCGGTACCTGCAACCCACCTCCCCACGGTTATCCACAATCCTCCTCTTCCTCATCTTTCACCCGTGATCATTACCAGCATCATTACAGGATTCCTCTCAATTTGGTAATGTTAATGGAGGTGTTGTTTTACAGTTTGTAATAAAACAAATTTTCCAGTTGGGAGTGTTACAGATATAAAGATGAATGTTTACCAACGTGTTCTACACATTCAGTGTGTTTGCGTATATATAAAATATTCTAGTGTACGAAAGCATATTTCACTTCTAAGGTCCTTATTTCCATAATACATTTCCCAAACCAGATCTTAATTTTGAAAAAACACAAATTGGTCCTCACAAGGATAGCAGCACAAGAGCACATGCATACACGTGACGTACCTTGAGTTTCACCCCATCCAGTAACATAACACTCGGTTCCACTGGGAACAATGTAGTCCTTCTCTGGCAAACAAGCTGGCAAGACTTTGTCATTTATTAGTGCAGGGCTGAAAACGCACAAGAAACACACACAGGAATGTCAGTTTCAGTGGTGAGTGATTATTATTTGTAATTGATTAATAATTTAATCTATAAAAGGCTTTCAGGCTTTCTACTCATTGTACTGCACATTTGCAGTTTACAATGAACAGCAGGCCTCAAATATCTAATACCTCATTAAAAGTACAAAGGTATTAACAAGGTATTAAAGTAACCAAAAGTAACAACAAACATGTAGTATGGTTAATTTCACAATAATGTCATATATTATTAGATTATCACCCCCCGCGACCCTGTATGCAGGATAAGCGGTTGAGGATGGATGGATTATCACACTGATGCATTAATGTTTACATCATGTCAATGTTACTTTAGATACTTCTGAGTAGCTTGTGAATAATTGTATTGGAGTAAAAGGTACAATATTTGAATTGTAGTGAAGTAGAAAATGGAAATTCTCAATTAAAGTACTTAATAAAATTGCACTTAAGTACAGTACTTGGGTAAATGTACTTTAATTTCCACCACTGAGTAGCAATAGTGAGTAAAGTAAAGTACTCCACTACTCACCTCTGCAGTTTGAGCAGAGCGATGTCAGCTCCATTGGGTCCCAGAACCAGTTTCTCCAGGTTCCTTTCTTGTTTTGACGGCTCATTGGCTCTCTCTGTGTGGACACCCAGGACTACCTTGTAGGCTGAAGGCCGTTTGGACCTACAGTACACAAAACATTCACATAAACATGTAGTTGTGTTATTACAGGATTTGGTCATAAGATGTTTTTTTATAGTCTTACTGACCTCTCCAGGCAGTGCGCAGCAGTAAGGACCCACTGAGGGTCAATCAAAGTTCCTCCACAGAAATGAGTTCCCGTGCTGGTGGAAAGAGAGACAGAAATGTATTAAAGGAGGACAGAATCAACACCCCCACCTTTTTCAGAAAGTATTTAAAAATGTACAGATAAACCTCTTGAAATGCAGCATATTGTTTTCAAGGGGGTTACAAAAACATGGACATTAACATACATTAAAAGTAAAAATCATAAATAAATTCAGAATACATAGCAGCCAGAGTCCACTTCTATTATAAAGTTTATATATTTCTACAAGTGCAGAAAACTAGTCTGCAAAATACAAATTTCTTGACACATGGTGTGTATTAATTTTAATAATGTTCTAAACTATTTTCTATACTTTTCTAAATTTTAAGGCTGTAATGTAACTGAGAGTGTTTCTATTATTAAAAAGACTGTTTAATCAACCTAAAGCTGAGACAGTCCACTGGTCTAGGTTTCAAAGTTATATTGTCCTATGAATGAATTAGCCTATGTTTTTTTCACCCTATTAAACTCGTGAACCAAAAAAAGACATTCCTCTTTTAGTAAAATTATAATTGTGATAAAATGCTGGCAGCTGGAAAGTAATGTTTTCACTCGGTTTTGAATTTTTGGGCATGATCCTAATTTGGATTTTTACAATGATAATAAAGGGTCAGTGAAATAATGCAGATTAAAATCAATAGTGTTTTCTCAGTATTTGAATATCAGAGTCCCATTGTCAAAATATTTGTTTGTACCTTCCATCTATTAGCATATATTCAGGTCACAGAGGTAACATCTGTTTCTTTAAAAGCTTATTAACCAGCGACGTCTGAAAAAAACAGAAGGTCATTTAAAAACATTCACCACTGTTCTGAATCCTCAAATACTCTTAAATAAATAAATAAAAATATTCTGTCCGCTGAGTGATAAAATAAAGAATTTTAATCTGTTTCTCAAGTTGTGACTGTGTAGTGAACAACGGTGTGGATTTGTGCATTTTATATTGAATAAATTTGGAGCTACTCTAAATTCCTTTCTCCTCCCCAGAGAAGAAGGGGAGAGGTCAAAGTTGCTTTCTCTAAGTGCTATCCCGACCATAAAACTGGCACCTTTTTGATTCCGAAGCTGATAACGCGGGGCCTGACTGTTAAACTGACAAAGGGACACGAACCAGCCATTGGCATCTCCCTGAACAGCCTATCAAAACTGGCCCCCCCACACACGTTTCTGTGGCAACTGACCTTATTCTTTGTTTTATTACCACATCAAAGGGATGCTCCTTGTCTCACCTAAGTGTGACACAATCCAGGACAGCCGAACTTTGAATGGCTAAGGACTGCAGTCTCCAAAGACTCAAAGCATTTAATTAAGTTTAATTAAATCTTTAGTTACCTGATTACGTTTGCCTCTATTTGAGTAGTTATGTTAACTGTTGTTGCTATCTGTTGTTGATATTAGTGCTGAAAAGAAAGAGAGTGTTTTTATTTTCAGCAAGACACTCCTTCATCTAATGTAATCTAAGCTTTCCTCATGTAACCTGAGCTCCCCCAAGTGGACGAAATAAGTATTACATGCCCTCGTCGGAAATGCCGTTAAATGTATAAATATCCTGACCAATAATGTGACAATTGTTTCCTGTTACCAAATGCCTAGAACAGTACAACCGTTCAACCATTGAGGTTCGATTGTGGAAAATATTTGATTATAAGACGTGCAAATAGATTTCTTTTTAGAAAGGCAGTCCCTCGGGAAACCTGAGACACCCCCTGGGGAACCACGCCACAGGCAACAAAACGCGAAACAGGCCCTTTTGTTTCGCCTGAAGTACACACGTGAAGTGCCGACATCGATCTGCCCCTCAGTTTGTTTTATTTTCTTTATTTCTTTTGTTTGTTAAAGTATCAGTCCGTTAAGTTACACTGGACTAATTCAGGAACGACCAAGTTCCATTTTAAGCCTTTTTCGTCGAGCCAACTTCACCGAGGTCAGACCAAGCCACGTGGTCTCGCCAGCTACAACGAAGGAAACCTGAAAACAGCCGAATTGCCAGACGGAGGAGGCGTTTTCAATCAGACACGGAGAACCCCGGATAATCCCTAGCAAAAGCCAGGATCGGGCAGCTAGAGTGGGACCCGTGCAACAGGCCAAAGCAGGCTGTCGACAAGCAGTAAGACTTAACACACGTTCTGTGATCAGATGTCATTTTAACTCCTAAATTATAGCATTAGTTTACTTTCATTAGCTCTTCTATGCCGTATGAGTCAAATGCGTCCCACAACCGAACCTCCAGGCTCATTGTTCAGCAAATGTTTATGTTCCCTGTATCCAACCATCTTTTATCACCTTAGTTAGAGAATAAATTCACTGTAATATAATCAAGAGCTGTGTGTGTTGCCTATTTATAGTTCCTGCCAAGAGAATTGACCCTTTAGATATGAGACTGACTGACTGATTTAAGATAATTGAGCGATTATTAACTAACTGATCACTAATAATAATTGTATAATTATTCAAAACTACCTAGAGGTCCGGAGACTCTAGGATTATAACAACTCCGGTGGTGCCCTAACGAAGAATAAATTTTGATTTTATGAATCTTAAAAATTCATAACTGGGTATCAATTCTCATAAATTTATTAAATTGCATGACTAAAATTTAGGTCTGCTACAACTGTCTGGATTTTTTCCAAACCTCGCCGGTTAATTATCTTTTAAAGGAACTGATGGTTACCTCTGTGACCTGAATGTCTGCTAATACTTGAGAAGCACAAGACTGGGGCTAGGTAATTGTTTGCCTTAATACAAAAATGGCATTGTCTTTTAAAACCCCAATATCACTTTAACCAATATCATATTTTATTAAAATCATATCTTAGTATTGTTCTACTCACTTGGTCCGGAGGCTGATTTGCCAGGGCCATGAGTGAGCTTTAGACTCGCAGCCTCCCACAATCCGACTAAAACAACGCCTTGGTTTGTTGACTGGGTTCCCACACTTCAGTCCAGCTAAAAAGATAGCTCAGAGTCATGAATTCTCGTAAGTGAAGTGAAACATAAACATCAAATTAGTTGGTGTCAGTAGTGTTGTAGTCAAGACCAAGATCAGAGTTTATTGAGACCGAGACATGACCAAGACTTTTAGGGGCTGAGACCAAGTCGAGACCAAGTCAAGACCAAGACCAGTTCCCCACATTACATGACACACAATAAAATGTGGAACGAGATCATATTGATCTTAAATTGATCCGAAAGATCCACATTCCCATTAAAACATCCACATACAAACACTGAGAGCTGAAATCAACATAAGCATCACCATCTTGGTGAGGGGTGACAACACAATTTTAATCAGGGTTATTGGTTGTGGCTCAGGAGATAGAGCGGGTTTCCCGTTAATCGGAAGGTCGGTAGTTCAATCCCCGGTTTCTCCAGGCTGCATGTCGAAGTCCTGCCCCTGGTGGCTGTTCGCTGTTTGAGCACTTAGGTAAGTGTATGCATGTGTGTGAATGGTGAATGCAGATGTAGTGTAAAAGCGCTTTGAGTGGTCGAAAAAGACTAGTAAGGCGCTATACAAATACAGAGCATTTGAAGTAATTTGTTTTACACCCAATCAAAGACCGGTCTCAAGCACTACAACACTAGGTGTCAGTTAACAAGACTTTTATTTATCATTCCAAAGGGATTGGAAAAAATATCAGCCTCTAGTGCTCGTTACACATGAAGAAACAAAACTGTTGGATGGACAAAAAATGTATTACGGAATTTTATTAAATTCATACGGGAATAAGTTGTAAACAGGTTTACCAAACAAGAGGTTTATCAGAGTCTCTACCAAATTGTATGGCAATTAATCCATCCAGATATTTCAATCTGGACCAAATTTCTACTAATAGACTGATTGACCAATATTGCCATTCCTCGAGCCTCGCAGGTGGAGTTTTTCAGTTTCAATAAATTTCAGTTATTAACCGTAATGTCTAACACTCTAATAGTGTTCACATACCACAGTCAGGGATCTGACAGTAGTCCCATTTCTTGTTAATGTCGGTAGTGTAGCACCACGGTCCGTTCACATCGCTGTCTGGGTTTCTGCAACTCTGACAGTGACACACAATAAGAGAATCAATGAACTAGAAACAAATATAATGATTAACCAGCTTTCACCGTTGATGTGTTCATTAAATCCAGAGCAAATGTCATTACTACTAAAGTCTACAACTAAAAATGGTTCATACATGAACACACTTACATTGCCCTCCAGACCCTTGGTGGGGTGACTTTGTGGGGTGAAGCTGTTATGTTGGTGAGGGCTCTGAGCACTCCAGGCCTGGCAGGTCACACCCAGAATAGTGATGGAGGTTGGACCCCGGTATGTATCTCCATTTCCAATCTTACAGTCTAACACAGCAACAGAGAGAAACAAGTGAGTGAATACAGGATAAAACAAACTGAAGCTCACAATCTGATAAACACACATTTAAAAAGTTGCATAATGAACCTGTCTCTGGTGGTGTCTGGGTGGCGGTGGAGGGGGCCTGGGGTTGAGAAGGATTGGTAGGTACAGCTCCCACAGGATTGGTGGGGCATTTCTCCAATTTGCAGTACTCCCAGCGTACTCCGGGGTCTGTAGTGTAACACCAGGGAGCTCGGTCTCCGTCAGGGTTCCTGCACAGATTCCTCCTGAGGTCCCTGTTAAAAGAGAAAACAGGACAGCAAGAGAATCACGCCAGGAAAGGACCCAATGATCTCTGTTGGTTTGTTTTTATTACCATGCCTTGCACTTCAATTTTAAAACAACAAGCTACTAATATATTGTTAAGCTAGCTACCTTATTTTGCACAGATATTGGCAATGATAGGCGATATGGCAGTTGTGCTATGACTTTCTATTGGTGGACAGGGCCAAAGATTTCATTTTCACATAGGTCAACCTTGACATAAGGCTGGTGATAGGTGCTGGGAAGTCCATTTGATCCCCTAACCTCTTGGGGACTACGTAAGATGCACATCTTTAAAAATGTTTTAAAATCATATGCGGACTAAATGTGAACCAGATACATGGCATAAAATGGTTGCCATATTTTAGAGTGCAGACTTGGGCTATTTAGGCTGAGAATCAGCTCAAGTCAGCAGCAGTTGTACGAGCTTTAGGTCAGAGTTGGATACCAAAAGGATCATTGTCCTTTGGCCAATCCTAGCATGTAATTAATCACAAATCTGTCTTTCAGAAATAAATAGTTGAACATATATTATTGTGATAAGAACTAACTAAAATAACAGAAACCATCTTTGGCAAAAATGTTTATGAAGTATAGATACTTAATTTTTTTAGTTTAGCCCTTGTCCCATCTGCTGACATGGAGAGGTCGGGGTTTATGACCTATACTGCAGCCAGCCAGTTTTAGGGAGCTGTCGTGTCGTCCATATTCATATACTAGTGTTTTGGGAGGTCACTGACCTTGACCTTTGACAACCAAATTCTAATCAGCTCAGACCAAGTGGACGTTGGTGCCAAATTTGAAATAACTCCTTCCAGGCATTCTTGAGATATTGCGATCATGAGGATGGGATGGACCTAAGGTTACAGTAACCTTGACCTTTGACCACAAAATTCTTATCAGCTCTTCTTTGATTTGTTCGCTGGCCCGGAGGCGTAAGAAAAGGCATAATCAGCATTTCAAAATATAAAATGTATTGGTAGATGCGACTTGATGCTCACGCTTTGGGGAAGTTCTGTGGAGTTTTCTGATGGCTGTGAGGAGTCATGGAGCTCCAGGCTTGACATCTTTTTCCACTGACGGTCTCTGATGTTACGCCACGGTAACTCGACCCATCCCCCTCAAAACACGCTTCTTCCTCCTCTTCCACCTCTGGAGGATTCGATGTCTCTTCTGCAGCAAGAAACAGGAAATCAGACTGATTCATTTTCATTTGCAGCTGTGTCTGAAGATAGTTTTAGAGGACTATATACTTAGTCATGATTTCAAATTCAAGGCCTGGTTGCTGTCTTCCTCTCTTCTATCGTCCATCACCACCATCATTAACATGATTGAAACTTTGTAAGAAAGTTTGCATTTACCCTTTTAATAATCATTGCTATGCCTAGACTCTTTTCCTTGCTTTGCAAATTTACTCTTTCTTCAAACTGAATCAAGTCCAGCTAAAGTGGACATTATCATTGTTGATCACTGTTTTACCTTGTCTGACTGCATCCCCACATCTCGGCACTTTGCAGTACTCCCAGCGAGTTTCAGGGTCAGTGGTGTAACACCAGGGCATCCTCTCATTGTCAGGGTTTCGACAATAGTTGTTATCGAGGCCTCTGACAAACAACAGACAGTAATATTGATGAATACACAGGCACATGCTTGGGATCATGCATCTGGTTTTCCTTTTGCACCGCTTTGTTTATTTGTTTCATTTCCAGGGTTTTTGTTCATGACCTGCCAAATCAGATCTGGTGGACGATAGAGCCCATGTGAGCATGTGCACATAGTATAGTGGAGTCACCTTGTCTGGGCATTGAAATCTGTAAAATTCAAAGTTACCTCCTTGACTTTTTTCATCACTTGGGACAGAAGAACCACACAACAAGGAAAACAATGCCCTCATCCCTGACCATATCACCTTGTGAAGTTTTTGTGTTTAATGTGTCTTTTCTGCCACCAGCAGTTGGTTTCAGTCAGCAGTTTACTGAAACAATGAGCATGATAGGATTATTCATTCTGATTTACCAGCATGGAAAGGAATCAAAGGCCTGTCCAAAATATAGGCAGGGTGAGTTCAGTGATTTAAGCAAATAAAAGCCTAGTCTATAAAAGGAAGTTTAATGGTAGCAATGCACTAGACTGGGTCTATCCATGTATTTCATCCTGAGTTTCCATACTGTGATTTGGTCTAGGCAAAGCAAGTTTATTTGTATAGCACATTTCAACAACAAAGGTAATTCAAAATGCTTTACATCATAAAAGTAACAGAGAAATATAAAAAAAACTTTTAAAAGAGTTAAATAGAAAATAAAAACAGATCCTTAATGAAATAAATCACCCCTTTGTTCTACCTGCTGTAGCTGTCTCTTAACTGAAACTCCTTACTGTGGGGAGCTTGCTTGTACAAGTCTTTTACTTAGTGGCAACCCCGTCACTCTCCGTGTGTTGTTGCATGTGTTTGTACTTCAGACCTTTGTGTGTATACTAAAAACAATAATAACACCACCACCCTTGTGGGATTAATAAAGAAGAAAGAGATGCAGATGTATCCGATATTTTACCACCAGATTACAGAGCATCTTCTTTCCACAGGCTGTTAATTGACCCTTTGCTAAGCCACGCCCCGAATGCACAGCTGGCCAATCACAGCGCAGTATAGGACTTGCTCTAACTGAAGTCCGACACTTTCATGGATGCGCTCCATTGACTCTAATGTAAATAGAGTAATTTTCTAGCTTTTTTTGGCAGTATTTTTCCAAGATATGGTCAAACGCTGTCCATGGGGGACTTGTAATAGTTACAGTCACTACCCAGAGAGGTTGAAAGGAGAAGTACGATTTATTCTCTTTCCAAAACCTAAAATACAACATAAGTGGCCAGTCTTTATTCCAACTTGGGAGTGTTTAGCTCATTTCACCTACACATATAGTGAAGGCAGAAGATTATTAGCAAACAGTTTTCTGTTTACACATTCAGCAGACACAAAACAACAGCAGCATTCATTCTGTAATGCTCCGGTCGTCATCTGATGATTCAGGTCCTTATAGTTCTGTTTTGGTCCCCAACATCTCCTGAGGAATATATCTGGCTCTTTTTTTCACCAGTAACTAAATGTGTCTGTTGCAGCTGGTTTAGAGGGAGAAATGGAGCTGACTTTTTCTGTATCTCTTACTTGCAGGGGTAGTTTTCTGGCGAGCGGTTGTGTTTGTGTGGAGTCTGAGAAGACCAGCTCTGGCAGGTTTTGCCAGACTCTGTCACAGCGATCGTGCCGCGGTATGCTCCACCTTCACCGGTGGCACAGGTCAGCTCTGGGACGATGGTGGGAGGCTCGGATGCTGAGCACAGAGGACGAGATAGATTGATTGTAGAAATCATAGTAAAAACAATTCAAGTAGCAGCAGTGTTTTAGATGATGTTTGGTAAAGCAGTGATTCTCAAACTGGGGGTCGGGCCCCCCTGGGGGGTCGTAAAGCCACTTCAACGTTCATGAATGTTGAGCAGACCAAAAGTTGCATGAAAATGATTCATGTAGTGACATAAACAAACAAAAGTGCTCTGGTGCTAGCAAGGCTATTTTGCTAGCCTGAATCTTGTTTATTTCGAATGCCTGATTGATAAAAATTAAATCCACTGTTGCCAGAGTGGGTGGATATGAACTTATTTTGGCTTCTGAAGGGGGGCGTGACAGAAAAGGTTTGAGAACCACTGGGTTAAAGGGTGGGTGTACATTTTTTCTACAGTTAAAAGCTGCAGTTATATTTGCCATATTGCTTGTAAATGCTTTTAGTGGTCTCAGTAATGGAAGCTTAGGCAGGAATAATATGTTAGAATAGGGAAATGGGGCATAAATAAAGGAATCATTAAAATAGAGGACTGACTGCAGCGGGGTATGGAGCAGAAGTCCCATCGTTTGGATGGGCTGGTGGTGAAGCACCACGGTCGGGGGTCTCCATCTGGGTTTCTGCAGTAGTTATCCTCAAGGTACTTCTCTGGAAGACTACAGAAAACATAAATGAAATGGATTAAAAATAAATCTTTAGGAAAAAACAATGTTTCGCTAGAAAATGAGTTTCATTTGCTGAATACATTTGTTAGATATTATTAAATCCTGCTTGTGGTTCATTGATTGAGATTAATGTGCTGTTGTGTAGTCTTACACGCTGGGGATGTAGCCATGGTTGTGAGGTTTCTGGGAGTCCCAGCGTTGGCAGGTGAAGCCGTTTTCCGTCGTTGAGATTTTCCCTCTGTAGTCCTCACCACTGCAATGTATACACTCCTCTTTAAAAGACCAAGCACAGACACATCACTCTACCTCTCTGCTGTGTTGGCCTGTCCATTTAATGTGTGAGCGGTAACAGTAAAAAATAATAGAAACACATTACAGAAATTAACATAACAAATTAACTCCCCCATGGTAGTATTTATTGCAGGAATACTTGGGAGGAAAAATGGGGCCATTTTTGGTTTGGTGGTCAGTATGTCATTAAAAAATATAATGTTATTACATATGAAATAAATAAAGGGGGCAATTTCGGTTTTATAATCTGTCAAATATAACTTCCAGTCAATAAGTAGAGGCTACAATAACTTTCTTGCAAGTGGAATACTGCATTACATGAGTTGTTTTGGCCATTTTAACAGGTAAAAAAGGACTGGATTGGTTAGTAAACAGCAAGTTAAATAGTGTAAAGTCATAAGGATAATTGCAAAAGAGATCATGTCTTTATTTTATATATAACTCATGTTAATTATAGGCTACATTCTGTTTTCCATATATAAACAAGGACATACACCTACCATACACATAATCCATCTGCAACAACAGGCTTCTATTGTTGCCTATAATCATGTAAATGTCAGGCCTGGTTATGCTATAAACTGCAAACACTTATTTGGCCACAATTGTGATTATTCTGTTAAAAGAAAGATTAAAGTATCGCTTTGGTATCACCACGGACATAAAGGGAAGTTTATTTACACATTATGTCTGTTTCTTCCAGATAAAAGCAGTCTATGATTAACACACAGTTAAAAATGGGGACATTTCCGGGGACTGCTTCAGGACAGTCCCCTGTTTTGGTGGCCTGTCCCCGGAAAACGGGGATGTCTGGTCACCCTAACATGTGCACCATCTTAGTTTTTAATGAGCTAATTAGCTCTATTAACTGATGTCACACACAAATTAACAAAATAACAAACAAAAAAAAAATCTGTCATTTTTACCAGTGCAGCTGGGTACATTGCAGTGTTCCCAGCGGGTGTTGGGGTCGGTGGTGTAACACCAGGGTCCCCCGGTGTCTGCATCAGGGTTTCTGCAGAAGTTAGACTCCAGATCTGCCAGAAGATTGGTCTGCGGTGTTATACTGCAGCAGACACATTGGGAAAATTATATTCATTCATATAAAAGGGTATAATGTGATATTTAAAATTCCATTATTATAATATGTGAATTCATACTTGGGCCTGTGTGGGAATTTTGCTTCCCATCTCTGACATGTCTTTCCGGTTTTTGTTTTAGTCTTTGTTCCTCTGTAATCTGTCCCTAGTCCTTTTACACACTCCAGGAGATATCCTAGATAAGACAACAACAAAAATGCTATTATATTATCTACGCTATCAGCATAGCATTTTTAATCATGCAATAAAGTCAGTCTGCTATTTAGGTGGAATGCTTGGAGATATGTTCACTGTATAGTGCACTGCAGAGTACTATAATATAATAATTATCTGCTGGACAAGTATTTGAGTGAGTGATTCATCTGATCCCAGTGATTTGCTGTTTCATCCCCAAAACTTGAGTCTCAGCAGTGTTCAATGTGCCTCACCTCCTCACTGTGTTTGCAGGCACAGTGAGGAGGTGACAAACATCACTGGTTATGCAACGTAGGCTAAACATTAACTGCAATGTAGAGGAGGCTTAAAAATGTCATGTAAAATCTAAGCTGGAGCAGAATGTACACTCTGTAGACTTTTTAGTATGTGTCAGAAATCAAAGCAATCAAAGAAAGCCCACCATGATAAAATAAAATAGACTTGGGGCTACTTATGTAACTCATAATGAAAACATAAAAAGACTTGCCTTCTTTTTCGTATAAAACTGTGCTGGTTCTGCGCAGAATCGTCTCTGTTTTAGAATTTGCTGCTGCTGTCCAACACTCTTGGTCCTTTTCAGTAAATATGAAAGACCTATGAAAACACAGCAGGTGTCAGGCCATGATGTGTAGCCTCAAAAACTCAATTGGAACAGAAGTGTAAATGTAAAAGTTGGATTTTAAAAGTGTGAACTTGCTTGCATGTGAAGGATATTTCAGCATTACATTTGGTGGCACATTCAATCACACTGTTTACTGAGTACTGCCTTCGCTGCAGCGAGAGGATCCAGGCTCCTTCAGTTTTGGTGTAGCCGACCACATCAGTACCACTAACTGAAATCAGAGACAGCAATATTAATTCATTGTCAAATATACAATAAATGAGATGTCATTCACCGCATGAATGAACGTTGTCCTAGCTCACAACTGGTTTCAGGTTTTCTGGTTTTATGTATGAGGTAAAACAGCAGTACATGTTTTCAAAGTTGCAAAACCCGGAAATGGGTATAAATACTGTGCATACATACACATGAACTTAAAAACGGGGACATTTCCGAATATGTTAATGTTGCTTTTCCTTATGTTCAATAATTTAATTTGCTGTTCTGACTTAAGAATCAAAGACTTAATTATTAATAACAGTATGATAAGAGACTGTTTCCACCTATTATGTGGATAGATGTTTTCTCACATGCAAGTCTGTGCTCTGAAGTGCATCAGTCTGTTCAGACCAGCACAGAAGCAGGTAAGTGTCAATTAAGGAGACAATTGGAAGTTAGTTGGACTCTATGATGATTCTTTGATTATGATTCTAATGTCTGTGTGCTAAATATGAAGCTACAGGTTAGCCACTTAGTTTAGCATGAAAACTAGAAGCAGGAGGAAACGGCTAGCTTGGTTCTTTCTAAATGTAAAAAAAAAATGTTAGTTTTTGTTTAATCAGTGTAAAACTGCAACCGGCTAGTTGTTTCCCTCTGCTTCCAGATCAAAGTCAGACTTTTATAAAGTTGCAGGGGGAAAAAGTTTGCCATCTGACACAGAGGTGAAAGATAGCATGGCACTAGCATTTAGCTTAATATGTAGTTACAATTGTGGATCATCTTCATGACAACATACATCATATTTCCTTTCTATATAGTCAAGTGAAGGCATATGCAAAAATCCTGTGTTACACCACACGATATATATGTAGAGGCGGGGTCAGATTTAAACTTGTTTATGGCAGCAGCAGTGACCAGGACTCAGTCATGCAGGTGGTCTAATACAATGCAGTTGTTGAGCATTTCAAAACCTACAATGACCCCATAAACCCCACAATGAGCAGATTGGCTTCATCTGCTAGTCATAAAATGAAAAAACAGTTTTAAACAGAGCATTCAGAACAGGGATATCTGAGGTTTTGGCTAACAGGGATTTCTTTGAAATAATTTTATTATATTTATATTTTATTTGAAGCTTTTGTCATGTTTAACATCTGAAATTGTAACATTATAGAAATGCCAGAAAATATTAAAAAGCATAATAGGTCCCAAGACAAGATTCTTTGAAAGGATATGTGAGCAAACTACACTATTATATGTAGAACCCACAAGTGGCGAGTTTAAGCTGACAATTGTACATATTATGTCTCTAAGTGAGAGTTGGCCTACACAGTCAAGAGCAACAAGAGTTTGTGTAATCACGTCCACCTAATTTTGAACAAGATGAGCTACTGTTGGCCAGTCAGTATCTATTATTGTGACTACATTTATCTGAAGACATAAGTTATCGTGATATTGGTCACAGTGGTTGAACTCTAAGATCACTATGTGTAAAAGCAAATAGCACAGATTGCACTTGAAATATGAGTGTTACCACAGTCCTGTCAGAGATTCCAAATTTTTATTTGAAATGACAGTGATGCTTGATGTGACCTGATCAAATCATGTTTCAACCCTAGACTGTCAGGCGTTTAGTGTGACTTCTGAGATGTCAGATTTGATCAGAATCAGATCAACTCTGGGTCCCTATGGCATCTGTCTCTGCTTCCCATTTTCTGAGGCTGCCTCTAAAACTATTCAAACTACACACAGTGTAAGTGTAAACACATTAAAGTGAACTGTTTTATGTGTATCCAGACTTGTCTCATAATACATCCTGGCTTAACTGAATGATGAATATAGCATTTAAAGAACATGTTTAATCAACTTTGACACGGTTGTCCTGATGACATACTCTCTCAGTGAAGCAAAGTATTGTCTGTCTTACTTTTTTATACTTTATGGCAATTATATAGTTGTAGAGCTATTCATAATTAACAGTCAAAGATGCCATTATAACTTACCAGTGCAAATCAGGAATCCTAGGAGGAAAGCTAGTTTGTACAGGTCCATGGTGAGGCCCATATACTAGCAGCTCATAGTCGACTAACTCACAGAGGTACCACAGAGTATGTTACTGGGCTTCTTTTACCATGTCGGGAGGACAAACAGACCATCATTAGTCAATCATTGGCCTGACAAGGACGGCAAAAGAGCAACAGGTCAAAAAACTTGTTTATGGGAGATTTTGGAACACCAAATGTTGCATTGCAATATCACAGAATTTCATCCTTGCTGTTTAGTTTCTTACCTTGTTCCAGTTATGAAACACATTCAGTTGTAGAGCAGGGAGAGAACTCTGAACTCTGCTGAGATGCACCCACATGCCTATTGAGCTATTCTGTTGCTTTTTTGCAGCTACAACAGATTTAGGAGAATACTCATGAGCTTTGACCTCTTCTGATATCATGTGCCTTTTTGTTTCTTATCAACATGCCAATTCTTTCTCTCCATCACTTGAGTGGAATTTGCATCCATTCTAAGCAAGCTGGTATGTCCTATGTGGCGTTAAAATTTAATTTATAACAATAATAAGTAAATGGTTGCATGTTGAGGGGATCCTTTAACGGTAATGCATGCATGTGTGTGTTATAGTCTTATAATGTAATACAGACTCTCATTTTATCTTGATCACCCTGTATTTACCAGTAGAATGAGATCAATATGTGCAGTTAATCTTCAGCTCAAAAAGACCAATGTCCTCAACTGCAAACATGTGCTTACAAAATAACCTACTTTCAACTGTTCAGTGTGTGGTCGGAGAAACTGTGCCAGTGTACTTCTAAAAAACTTAATGATGAGATTTTTCTGTGTATATAAGGTCCTTAAGAAGTCTCTTTGGAGTATTTTGACTTTTTGATATCCCGTTTTTGGAGCTGATTACTTTTTCCACCAAGAAACAAAGAAACATAACCAAGTATTGTATCGTGGGGCCCTCGTTAGCTTTGGTCTTCAATCTACATCTAGTTATTAGCTTTAATTAAAAAATACAACTACTGTAGTAGTGGTAGTACTACTAGTAGAACTGTACTACTAGTTGTTGTACAGTCCTGTTAAACAACAGCTACAGCGATTCCCCTTCCTCTCTCGCTCTCTCTTTCATTCTCAATTTCAGCCTAACTTTGCTTATTCTTTGGCGCTATGCAGGCAGCGTATAGTGGATATTTAGAGGTTCTCACTTAAAACAGCTGCCTGCTGTGACTGACAAACAACGCTATGAGAGTGGTGACAGTGAATCGCAACTGTAAAGCTGTGGGCCAGAAAATGAGTTCAAAGAGGCTTAAACACTCCGTAGAGCTGAGAGAAAGTACAGAGTTGGGTGATAATTCCTTGAGACACATTACATGAGTATGTGTTTATTTGACCCATTGTTGTTATAAAACATTGAAATAAGAAAACAAAAAACCTGACAAATACAATGTTAATCAAAAGGCATGAAGCTGACAGGGAACTTGGGTAAGATATCTGTGGGATGTTCAATTGGGAAATGGGATTTCGCTCCAAAGAGGGAAAAAAAAGTAAAAAAACTAAATACAACCTGCCTCATGACCTCTTCCATTGTGGGGATGGTGCCAAATACTGACAACACAACCTATGCCATCCCAGTCCCCATTTAAACACACCTCTGTCTGCTTCTTTAAATGTATTGTAATTGTTATTATAGCAAATATTTACAGCACTTGGAATATTTGTCCACATTTTCTTCTTTTTCCCTTTTAATTTATGTATTTTCATTTTATATACATGCTTTTCTCTGTAAAAGGAAATCTATCATACACACAATCTCACAAAATCTCCTCTCCAAATGCACCACACCCATACATGATTTTCTGCACTGTATCAGCCCCATGTCACACTCATGCCCTCTCCTCTGCCTGAGTCTTTTTTCAAGCTTGTCTATGTATGTTGTCTGGCCTGTATCAAAGTGCCCCTATGTTGGTTTCCTTGAAGTAAATCTGAACAAATAACAACCCATGTAATACCTGGTAATGGCCTGCAGAGGGTGTTATTGATCACCAGCTTTGAAGAGCTGTATACATTAAAATAGTCTGTCACCTCTTCAACTTAGCCTGAGTTAACAGTGGTTTGGTGGATGAAACCGACAAAAGACACCCTGTTGTTGCTGCATGTGAAAGGAAACTGAGGACAAATGCATGAACTGTTGAAGTTGATAAGGTAGTGTCAAGGATGGGAGGTATAATAGAGCTTTTGATGATGATATCCACAATTATAATAAACTATTCTGTGTTGGTGGATGATTTGTGTTCAATAGGCCACAGTAATGAATGGCTATCATACAGCATGATACAATTTAAGTAATTCTGATGGGGCAGATGGTTCAAGGAATTCAGGAGTACCTCTACGATTTCCAATGTTACTATTTTGAAAGCAAAATCATGTTTTACACTTACATTTGTTCTTGCCTTCTTCAAAAGGTCAGGTATTAACAGTCTATCTATTCAAAATGAAAATCATGATTTGATTAAAAAAAAACACAAAACATTGTGTATGCATGACAGAGCATTGGCCTATTTCTTTTAAATCCGGTTAAAAGCATTTGCATTGTAGTCCTTTATAGAAGATAAAATGATACATCACAAAACTCATCAACGGCTTATAGGATGTGAGATGTGTGAAACACAAGATATGCTTTAATTTAGAAATGCTCACTCATTGTGGTTTGTGGGACCTGGGGCGCTCAGCTGCCCCTTTTCAACAAAAAGTGCACTTAAATACGGAAGTTCAATGCTTTTCATTTGTAAACATCTTGAAGTGAGCACAGTGAGCACAGTGAGCCTGCTGATCAGGGTTACTGTAGATCTGGTTTCCCTTCTCACCTCTGCAGCTGTAAAGAGTAACTTCAAACATTTTACTTATTGTCCCAATTTAGCAATGCAAAGTACAACTAAGCCTGTGAAAACAATTGTATAATGTCCTCTGTTTCTCTGGAGAAGGCTTGTCCAGACTGGGAAAGTTAACACTAGTGACATCGTACTCAAGATCATGTATGTCAGCTTGGGTTTAGGGACTACAGATCTTTAACCATGCTAGTGGGATGGCAAAGTATGTCAGTTGGTTGATTTACCATTTTGGTCCAGGCTGAAATATCTCAAAAATTCTGGATGGATTACCGTGAAATTTGGCATTCATACCCCATTTACACCTGGCATTAAAATGTGATCTGTATCTGGATACGTTATTTGGATAATAGAAAGACAGATATTAATGCAAGGTGTAAATGCATGCAGGACCAGCCTGTCGTCACCAGAAAAACAACAGTATATGTAGTTTGTTCAAACAGCTTACAGTATTCTGACCAAGAGCGAAAGAGTGATTTACATAACATACTTACTTTAACCCAAACCACGATGTTTTCTTAAACCTAACCAAACTGCGACTGTTTCACAACGAGCGTGTTTAATGTCATGTCATTTACGTCACATGACTTATGTAACGCTGTTAAGGTCTGGTACACATGTCACTTGAGTGGTACTTTCCGATATTAATACATGTCGTTTATGGAAATAGTCATTTGTAGTTTTTGAAGGAATTGACAAACTGTACATTTTGTCTTTTAGGTAAGAGGACATGTTGTGCAGAACACATTGGGATCGGATTGCAGTGACATCGGGCTCTCATTTTGATTGGATCTCTCAGCCAGATGTAAATGCGATTTGTAAAGCATGACTATAAAATAAATATGCCCAGCAAGTTGAAAGGTCACTTAACTCCTAACTCCTCTTCTTGCTAGCTCAAGCAAGACCGGCAAAAGCTAGTACCAGTAAAGTTAGCTAGCATGTCTTGCCTTGGCTTACCTTGTTGACCTTGTAGTCCACCAGCACCATCTAATTAATTTGCAAATTGAGATCTGAGGAAACACTGTAATTCCAGGTGTGAATGCAATGACCCGTGGATCGGACAACATTATACAGATTACGGATTCAAATGCTGATCACATTAAAATCAGGTGAAGTGAACCAAACATAATGACTTTGGCCATCCCCTAACTTTTACATCTAGCACCACCATAAGATTCACATAGGTTTTTTTGTGACAAATACTGGATGGATTATTATTAAATTAACTACAAATATCCATGGTGCCCAGTGGATATATGCTAATGACTTTGGGGATCATGCATTGTTTTGTTTATACTCAGGGAAAAACAAGAAAGAGACCACCAAACTAGAGATTCTTCAACGTGACCAAACCAAACAAAAAGATACCAAAGCTGATTATGAAAAATATTTTATTTAGATCTACAGTATTTGTGTTTGAACCCACTTATTTAAATCTGTCGCCACAACCTTGAGATTAGACAATTTTACTGAATGTAAAATCCATTAAATGGACTTTTAATGGACTCAGTTTAACCAAATTTCTAAGTAATTATTTTACTTCACATTTCCTTATCCATTTTCTAAACAAAAGCAGAGGGATGTTTTGAGAAATAATCGTTTTTCCGTGTAGCTCCTACTTTCAGCTTTAACACATTGTATTGTTTCACTGAGAATAAGTGTATTGGTTTTGTTCTCTGTTCCTGCAAGTTGAAGGTCAGTCTCCTCCATAAAGAGGGACCACAACAATACTTCACACAGAGATGGTGAGCGAAAGGTGTGGGCTCTGTGGCGTTCAAGGTTCACTACTCAATCAATATCCCACTGTCAGACCTCAATTTAGAGATGTCCCTCTCCTTAAAAAGGGAAGAATGGTTGCTTCCTGCAGCTCAGGGTTTCATGCCATTTTTCTTTGTGTGACCAAGAAACAAAAAAAAATCAAATTTTTACTATTTTACCTTCTGTGACTGTTGGTTGTATGTTGGTTTGTGTAATTATGCTACCATTTTGGCCAGAATTCCCTTGAAAAATACATTTCAATTTCTGGACACTGTCCTTTTTAAAGAAAGGTCAAACAAAAACTTAACGTGCACTCAATGTATTATTAGTTGTCATAAAACAGGCTGCAGGCAGATGCGATTAACTGGTGACCACATATGAATACTGTCCTCTACTAAGTTTAATTCAATAGAGAATTGAAGAATGTTTAAAGGCCTTGCTGTTTTTTTCCCTCTTCTGTCCTGTACATGGACAGAGATGGAAAAGAAAGACAGTAAGATTATTTTATTATTATTAACATCAATTTTGTCAGTATTGAGAGGTCATGCTAATCAGTTTATTTGGGCAAAACAAATAAATAATAGCTGTTAACAGAAAGAAGAAGCTACGACTAAACAGAATAAAACCTTTTTATTTTAAAAAGAACTGAA